ACTCACCATGAACTTCATGAGCCATGTAGGTGGTGACTCCGCTGCACATAGAGAAGATGTCTGCTCCATAAGACTGGAGGTTGCTGCCCAATCCACTGGTGACAAAGGTGATCTTCCTTGTAAATCTTCCAAGACCGACCTGGTTCTGGACACCAAACGACAGCATTCAGCAAGATGGGTGCTGGGACGCGTTTCATGGCGGGCACATGGGGAGTTGTGCAGTGACGAGCGGGTGCTTGGGGTGGGAGTGGCAGCTGCCTTTAGTGGTGCCTTTGCCACGGCACAGATCCCTCTCCCTCCACAAAGGAAAAGAGAGTGCGGACAATGGCAGCTGCAAGGCAAAGGTGTGAGCTGACGAAGGCAGGTTGGTGTTGCAATGACTCTGAAGGCCTTGGAAGGATTGCCACGCCATAAGCATTGGTGGCCTTGAAGGGCTGCTGAGAGAAAGGGTTTCTCAGCAAGCCACAGAGCTCAGGTTGCTGAGAGAAAGCACAGCTGGCGAAGGGAAGGAGGCCCCCCCTCTTTTCTTGGGACAAAGCATCCCTAGGGGAAATTCCCAAGCCGCACTGCAGTTGAGGGCAAGACAGTCGTGCCCCGAGTGACAAGGTGGTGCTCTCCAGCAGGAAAAAGCCCAGTTAAGAAAGGGCCCCACTGGCTCCAAGGTCAAGAAAGTGCAGCTCTTTTGGACTCTTACCCTGCTCTCTCTGGCCAATCTGGCCAGATTGTTAAAGCTGGGCATCTCGTTTTTGTTCATGACGGAAATGTAGCAGGTGTTCTGTTGCGTCACTTTGGTTGCAATGAGGCCCTGTGAAGAGAAAGGTATTGAGCACTGGCCGTTCTGTTTTGCAACTGGGAAAAGCTGGGAGAAAATCTGGATTGAAACCAGCAAGGAATACCAATAGTTCCTCCCCCAAATCCTGGACTGGAAAGGTTGAGAAGAAAGCAAGAAGCCCCGTGCCTTTTTCAGCTGGAGCTCCTGGCACAGTGCCTGGACAAGCCCACTCCCTGCCACTCACCGTGTTGTAGTTCCAGATGGTTTTCCAGGAGCCAGTGGGGGTTGTTTGGGTGATAACTGCCACACGCCATTGCTTGTGGATGGTCAGAATTTGGGACTGGCCACCAATGATGACTTCCTGGTTGTCACCCTGACCCTGATCCTGGGGAGGCTAAAACGGCAAG